AAGTGTATTAATCTTAGCTATTCATAATGGATAGTAAACAATAGATGGTCAAGATTTTACATGTAAGAATTATGTTTAAAATTTGTATTAATTTTTACTCAAAATTATTAACTATAATTAATCTCAACTATTCAAAATAAAAGAATAATAGTTAAGATTTTGTATAATTATTATCTATAAAACTTATGTATGTTGATCCTAATCAAAATTATTAACCGTAATTAATCGAATCTTTGGTGGAATCGATTCATGAAATGGATTTTGTGACCCACTAAAACTTCTAAAAAGAAGGCCAGCATTGTCAATTCTATTTTTATTCTACAAAGAGTTTAATACACATCATACGCTATTATCACACTTTGTCCAAATCCATACATGAATCTCAACTAGAGTTTTCAATCATGAATCTTTCAATGAGTTGCAGAGTTTCACTCGAGACATCCGAGTAAGGATCGTTAGTGAAGAAACCATGTTCCTTGCCTTCAAACTCAACATATTTGATCTTCTTTCCCATCTCTTTAAGTCTCTTGGCATAGTCCTCAGCCCTATCCTTGAGCAGCTCCTTGCCCCCAACCATGACTAAGATTGGGTCAAGGATCAAGGTTTCAAGGCTACGGCTCGAAGGACCAAAAGGGTTGGCTAATGGGTGGTCTCTGGTTTCTCCAATCGGCATGGATAACCTCCAGAACCTATATTTCACAATGAGCAATACTTGAACTGAATTAGTACACGTACTACTTTAATTTAATTAGAACTTTTAATAGATGTGATCATGATGTTAATTAGTTTAAGGTAGGGACAGCCACCGGGTTCGTCCTGGGCCAAAACCAATGATATCTTGATTTTACAATTTCTAAAACGCAATTGGCCAACGTCGTGTTCTAGGTTTAGCTCTAACTTCGATCCTGTCCTAATCACCTTTTAAATTATTTTCCTTTCTATTCTTTAGCAATTTAAATATAATAACAATTAAATTAAATTAAGAAAGGAATTTTGATCATACACAAGCTTTGATCTTAAGGCTAGTTCTTGAACCAAGACCGTGACCAGTCTTGGTCTCAAACTAGACCAGTCTCAAACTAGACCAGCCTGATGGCCAATTTTAGGTTCAGGGGTTCGAATACCTAATGGCGAGAAAGAAAATTTTAACCTTTTTTTTTTTAAAAAAAAAAAACATTTTATTTCATTTTCAGATCACATCACATATTACTACAATATGGGAGTGAAGTGTGATTCATATAACAAATGTCCCTATGTTATTAACTATCAACCTAGAATGTGATATTAATGGGACTATTGGTAAAGATATTGGACGACCATCTTTGTTGGATTAATTAACTAAAGGTGATGAAACCCATAAGCACTATCAAAAATATTCTTTTTGGGCGTGCCAACAAGGGATTAATCAAGCACTATACATCTTTAAATAAGACCACGAACATAATGGCATTTAACAAAAAAGTAAAAATAAAAATAAAAAGATAAGTTTTTTATGTACTTTGATTTGTCCCAAAATAATTATCTGTTTTTTTTTTTTAAATAAAGATTTATAGATAATTTAGATATTTACTTATATTATATATTTTTAAAAGAGAAATATGTAAAAAATAAATTTTTGTGATAGGGTGATAATTAAAAATATCATTAATCATGTAATCTAATAAAATAAAGATTTATAGATAATTTAGATATTTACTTATATTATTTTTAAAAGAGAAATATGTAAAAAATAAATTTTTGTGATAGGGTGATAATTAAAAATATCATTAATCATGTAATCTAATAAAAGAGTTATCTATATTTTAGTCATTGGTTTAGGGTTCAATTCTCTAATATCTATGTATAAAAAAATAATAATTAAAAGTAAATAAACAATAAAAGGGTTAATTACTCCTTTTATTTAAAAATAATTATTTTTTATTTTTTTCTTAAATTAAGGATTTGGAAATAATATTTATATTTATTTTTGAAGTAATGCTACATGGACCCATGGTTTGTACGCTGATTGGTCCCTGTAGCTTTTTTGATATTTTATTTTAGTATCAACAACTTTTAATTTTTATTTATAAGTCTTGTAATTTATTTTTTTAGAATAGTACGCTTAAACTTATATTTTAAAATTTTGAACTTTAGTAATATAAATCTTGAATCCTAAAATTTAAATTCTAACATCCTAAATATCTAAACCCATCACTTTAAATCAACAAACCTTAAATTCAAAATACTAAAAACTAAAATAATCTATGCACTAACTCTCTTTATTATTAAGAAAAAAGATAGGTTATACTACTTTTAACCATTAATGGAGAGGTGGGCCCCAACTCCCTCTATTAATGGTTAAATGAAGTGCAACCATGAAAATTTTGAATTGAACTCTTTTAAACACTAAAAAAGTAATTAAAGAAATTTTAAGGACTTAAATAGATGTAAATTACTAATTATGGGAGCCCTTCCAAAATTTCACCATAAAACTTTAAAAAGGAAATAACGTATGTGACGTTTCCACGTTGATTCGGCCCGTTTGGGAGGAAAAGGGTAAACAAAGATATCAACTTTGTAATTTTTTTTTTATTTAAGGATATTATTTTTATTAGTTTTTAAATAAGGACTTGAACTTTTAACTTTTTTTATTTAAGGATGTCAACTTTAACTCTTTTTGTTTAAGGATTAATTTGATGGTGATGCTAATGTAGCAAATGAGTTTTTTAATTGGAATGTGGAAAATTTGCATCCTTAAATAAAAAATGTTAAAAGTTGACATTTTCAAATAAAAAAGATTAAAAATTGATATTTTCAAATAAAAAAAGTTAAAAATTACTATTTTTATTTAGAAATTAACAAAATTAATATCTTTAAATAAAAAGTACAAAATTAGTATCTTTATTTACACTTTTCTCGCCTATTCGGCCTTTGAGGGCCTTCAACCGCTCTAGCATCTTCTTTATCTATAATATTTTTAAAAAGATAAATAAAAAGAGATTTTTAATAATTATTAAATGATCAATTAAAATAAATAAATAATATTTAAATTAAAGTAAATAATATTTATTTATTTT